GGACCTACCGCAGAGGTGCCACAGTCACACTCTTCCCCGGGACCTACCGCAGCAGTGCCACAGTCACACTCCTCCCCGGTTTCAATGAAGCCATTTCCACACTCAGGAGGCTCAAGAAGCTGTGGGAAGAAAACCAAAAAAGGGTGAAATATAGGAACATCAGTAGCAAAGACCCCAAGGGCTAACACCACACCTATACGCTCCATGTATATGCTGTCCACTCTAACTACAATTTTATTTACCGCAAAATAAAAAGTACAACTTTAGAACTTAGAACTTTAGAAGATCAATTTTGGTTTTTATTTGGATATTCAGACATAGTACTATATATTTGTATTATATAATGTATGTATATAATATTTATACCAAGTTGTGTCTGGTAAATGTCACCAAATACATGATGCATGCAGCCACTGAGGAAAAACCAAGCCAATTTGACATCTGAAAATCCATTTTGGTGAGAAAGCAGGAAATTTGCAGTCAGAAAGCCTAGATTAAAATCTTAGCACAGGGTAGGGTGGTGTTTAACAACACAACGTGTTTGGTTGTGAGAGGGCAATGCAACACAACACACTTGAAGAACACACAAGATGATAAAGGACTCAGTACAGGTAACATGGTAGAGACCCTACTACCTGAAACATGAACGCTATAAACTGTCCATTTAATTAATCAGCTGTTGAAAATTACCACGAGGATCAAGTCTCATTATTGTTTTTGCTAATAGCCTGTTAAGAATAATTTTGTAGATCTGGAGAGAGGTCTCAATGGTTAAGAGCACTTGTTGCTCTTGTAATGGACCGAGGTCCATTTCCTAGCACTCAAATGACAGCTCCCAATTACGTAGTTCTGGCAATCTGGATTCTTCTGAACTCTTCAGACTCACACATGCATGTGGTTCACATACATATATGCAAACAAACACTCATAAAATTAAATTTTTTCTTTGAAGATTTAATTATCTCCCTCTCCCGTGTGTGTGTGTGTGTGTGTGTGTGTAAGGTGTACATGACTACAGATGCCTTTAGAGACCAGACACAGTGGAGTCCCTGGAGGTGGAGTCACAGGAAGGTGCAAGCCACATACATAAGTAACAGGAGACCGGTATATGCTCTTAACTGCTGAGTCACCTTCATGTGTTTCTTTATATTTTAAATTAGCTTTGAAATGGTTCTCACAGTGACATTTGAGACTGCATCTTCCTTCTGTCTTTTTCTTGTTTAAGACAAGATCTTACTGTGTATCCCACGTTGGCCTGGCCCTGTAGTTCAAGCTGGTTTTGACCTCACAGTGATGTTCCTAGCTTAGCTTCCACAGTGCTGAAACTACAGGGATCCCAGGATCTGAATCTGCTTCTTGAACAAATTTACTTCTAAGTTAGAAGGTGATCCCAAAATTACTATGCCCACTGACCTGTTCCATATGAACCATGACTACAGTCATGAGCACCGACTTACAGAGAACGGTAGTGACAAACAGCTCCTATAACTAAAGCAATTTTTGACCTAATCAAGGGGAGATTTTTAAGCCTATTTTACTTTTAAATCTTCACCATATTTTTTTGTCTTTTGAATATAATTTATCCTATGATGCTGCGCAACCTCAGTGCACAGTAATTAATATTCACTGGATGTGTGATAATTGTTTAGAAGTGAACCAAAGTTTTCACATTATAGAATGAAAACAAAAGCCCACACTTTTGTAACTAGAAAGGGCGAAAGAAACCAACACACAAAAAAAAAAAACCCACTCCTTTCTGCCTGCTAGCTATGCCATCAGAAATATCCCAACTGTCCCAGATGAAGCTGGCCTTGCCAAGACATGCAACATTTCTAGAACATGCCCAGTGGGTCGAATTGTAAAGTTCTCTTTTGTAGACTCGGTACAAAAAAGTTGGGTATGAAAGTGTGCAATGACTCATAACTAATAAGTCTTGACCACACTTATTACCTTAGAAGGTTTGTTGAAGAGGCAGGCGCCACCACCACTATTCAGGAAGTCATGGTACTCCTCAATGCTGCACTGAGTAAACTTCTTAGGGAGGTAGTAGCTGTAGGAGAACAGAGGGTGAGTGTTCCTGCTTATTCACTAGCCTTAAATTCGAACAGCGTTAAAATTACACACCCAGCCAACCATTATATCTCTAAACATTTCATTTAGTGATATGTAGTGGCTATTGGTTGCTCGTTTATTTGCACATGAATTAAAAGAAAGATATAGTACAGCACCTGTGATTTACATCAAAGACAATAAAGCTTTATTTCATAATGAATGTATAATATACAACTAGCTATAACTCAAACATCAGAGAACCTATAAAACAACTGCCTATAAAGTTATAATACGTGTCAGGCCATGAAAGTCAAAGAAAAGTGCTGCAGTCTGCAGGCCTGTAAAGACGTGAACCCGAATATGACGCCTCACCAAAGCTTCAGCTGTAAGTGACATTTCTGGTAGATGGGTCAGTCCTGAATGTGGGCAATTACACACTTTTCATGGCTCTTCGCTGGCTTGTTGGAGGGTTCTTGTCATAGGAAGTGCACCCGGAGGGTTTGAGGGTGACAGAGCACCAAACTAGCAACATATGATTACAGGGTAACCAATGGGATCTCTTCTCACTAATCTTGTGACTTTTTTGAAAGTTTGAAATTATTTTAAAAGTATGCAACAGAAAAAAGTAATTAATGGTCCAGAGGAAAGAAGAACTGTGGTGTGATAAAAAATTTAGCAATCCTCAAAATAAACACACCTCTGGGAATTCTTGGTTTTAGATTTTTTTTTCCCTAAAAAGATAGTTAGCTATATACACATACGGTGTAACGTATAACAGTGAGGAACATGACAGTAACTCAAATGTTGACTAACGAGAGAACTTCTAAAACTCTGACAGGTGCCTGGAATAAAACAACAGAGTTATTACCTGCCCCAATTTGAAGACTGGCTGGGGAAAGGATGGCTACTCGGTGTCAACTGGAAAATACATATTTATATATCCAGCAGGAGCCAAAATTTATAAACAATAAAAGTGACAATTTAAAAACTTAATTAAAATGTAGTAACTTTTTAAAACTATGACTACCACGGGAGAAAGAAAATGCCAATTTTATTTTTATATTTTCAAAATTGGTCATATCTTAAGATTTTATTTAAAAGGAAAGAAAAGATAATAATAGCTTTTATTTATTTAATTTTTGAGAAGGGTCTTGTGGTATGGTCCACACTGGCTTGAGCTGATAATTTTATCTCCATCTTGCCAGTGACAGGCTGATAGGTGGCCCCTGTGCCTGGACAGTGAACACATGTTATTCAGCCTCTCTCCCCAGCCTTCAAAGACTCGTTTCTATCCAAAGCATTACTTCTTTCAAGCATAGTAGTTAATATTTCACAAATTAATTAATATTATTTTATTAGTATATGCCGAAACTAATTTTATTTTTTATTAAACCACCCCCCAGAAAAAGTTGTGACAGGTGTAAGTCATCTAAACTCTGTTAATTTCTTTGCTCCCTTTCCCTAAAGGATCAAACTATTTTTAGAAACATGAAGTTTCTTCATCTCTTACTTCCCTTTTCCTTTCAGAATCCGAACAGGTGTCCTTACCACCTTCCCTTCTAGGTCTTCCTACATGTCTCTGCCGGATAATCAGTTATCATTAGGACTCCCTCCAAGTTCCCTCTTCCTTCTACTGCTCGATGCCGAACCAGCTCCCACATCAGCCTTAGATGTCAGTCTTGTTTATGCCAGCCACAGCAGGACATGCCTCAAATCCCAAACTCCGAGGAGTAGAGGCAGGAGGATGAATAATTCAAGGCCTGGGGTACATAAAACCCTGCCTCAGGATGGAAAACAATCTACTGTGACTTTCGTCCTGCGAATGCCCTCACTGGGGTCACAGTCTAGCACACATAGGAAACCCGACCCATTCCTCGGCCCTCAGCAGTGATGGGAAACAAACCCACATTTTCAACAGTGAATCTGTTTTATTTATCAAGAGTTGAAGTGTGTAGGCCACAGAAGTCCGTCTTTCCTTTTTCAGGGTAATATATAAATTGCATTCAATGTATCCTTAAGTTACTTGATAGTACAGATTTATTTCAGCCGTGTTTCCAACATCAGCAGAGCCAGTGAACTTCAGGAAGCAAATGTGAAGGCATGTACCTATGGGGTACACAGATGAGCTAGCAGAACTCAACTTAAAGAGCCATAGCAGGTACCACTTACACAAAGGGGGTCTTCTCTTGAGTGGATCTATTTAATATAAGGATCATTTCAAGGAAAAAATGTTTATATGCATACACTTATATAATATATGTAATATTATATATATATATATTAAAGTGATAACTGATTGCTCTGTAATTATGCTTCACAATATGGGGGTTGTCTATGCAAATTGAATGTCACCAAGCAAGAATAATCAGACATGGTAAATACAAATTTCGAGACAGGGTCCCACTGTTTAGTTCTGGGTGGTCTGAAACTCACCATGTAGACCGAGCTAGCCTACAACTCCCAAAAATCTACCTGCTTCTGCCTCCCAAGTGCTGATATTGAAGGTATGTGCTATCACATACCCTCACCTGGCCTACCTTAAATAAAACTCCTAATGAAAAAGATCTATACATGAAATATATTAATAACTGGAAATCTGCAAATACAAAGTTTGTCATTAAAAAAAATATAAGAAAAAATTTAAAAAATACTTTATAAACATGTGTGTATATATACTCCCTCCCATCACTTACTGTGCTTGTTATCCTTAGAGTTCAAAACTCAAACTGAATCAATAAATAGTTACTGGATGTCAAGTCTAGTTAAAGAGGCATGAAATAAAAGTTAGTAAAAATACAATTCTTTAAGCAGTATGACTAAATGTTGAGAGGGATAAGGCATACATACAGAACTACATTCGAAAGCAGGCTGAGGTGGTAAAGTGCCTGCTGCAGAGGCATGAAGACCTAAGCGTGGGTCTCCAGCACTCACGTTAACGCTGCGGCCAGCAGCATCCACCTAACTCTAGCACTGGGGATGCCCAGTAGATCCCTGGAGGTGAACTAACCAGCCAGCCTAACTGATGAGCTCCAGGTTCAATGAGAGAGCGACACCCCACAGTGACCTCTGGTGTCCGTGTTCTCAGCATGAACACCAGCACATATATATATATACCACACACAGAAATGAGCATGCCTGGGTTCAAATCATGATAAACCTCAAAGATGGCTAGAAACGTGACTGGATAGAGAAAACAGGGGAGGCTTCCAAAGAAAAATAACTCCTCTGGGAAATCAAAAGGAGTTGGAAGTTCAAATATAATTACAATAAACAAAATTGGAGAAGCTAAAAAAAAAAAAGATCCATGTAAGACTATGCTTAGCAAATCAGAAACGCTAGAAACCACAAGCAATTATGATCAGAAAACAAAGGAATACTGGGAAATACGATGGTGAATGATAATAATGATATGGATATATAAGCCATCTAAATAATAAAGTAAGACATTTGAACCTTATTCTTCTTCACCTGTTTGTTTAATCCAGCTCACAATATAGCAGAAAACGACCTTTAACTCTTGATCCTTCTGCTTCCACCTTCCAAATACTGGAATTACAGGCATAGGCTACCACACTTGGCAGAAATGTATTCTTCAGGCAGTTTTGACTCACAAACGTTCTGGGCAGCGTATCAGTATTTAGCAAACAGATATTGCAAATTGACGGCATGGATCAATCTTACAGGGATAACATTATCCCAAAAGGCCAAGGCATGAAAGCTACATTCTGAGACATCTCGGGAATCCTAGCATGTGATGCAGAGCTGCCTTACACATACACAAATGCGAAGACTGAAAGTATTGCAAAGGACTGTGGGTAATACCCAAAATCAAAGGTGGCTGCCCGGCTGAGGGCGGACAGTGACAATGGGGGACACCATCAGTGTTTCCCTTTCGAAAGCTGAGATGTGAATGTGTACTCTTTTCTTCTCTATGCCCTTTGGAAGGTGCTGGGAGGTAAAACATAAAATCCTGAAAGAAGCCCGAGTGTGTGGAACAGTACAGAAATAATAATAGCAAGAGAAACAGAGTCCAAAGGAGGGCAGATGCATACGTCTGGAACGAAAGGAATGATTCTAACACCTTATTTAGAAAAAAAAGACAAGAATTGAAGTCTGACTGTGCAAAGACACTAGAGCACTGGGAATCTTTCTGAGATAAGTCTCCATGTTTCTTCCCAGCCCCGTGATCAATGACACTGCGCTATGAAAGCCCTCACACCATCAGCAATGTGGACCTGAGAAAGCTGCAGACGCGGGCTGCAGCTTTTATTTCATTTGAGGGTCAGTTTAGCAGATGAACTGAAGGAGATAAGAGAAAAGAATGTAGTGAACAAACCTAACAGAAGAAGAAAAGCTGTTACCTCATTATAATTCTAGCCTAGACCTGGGGCTGAAAAGTTTCTAGGGTCTTCTCACTGAGTAGTTGTGTTTTGTCTTGAGTAAGAGGTTATTCTGTAAAGACACTTAGTTTTGATTTCTCTCCTAAGTGCCTGCAGTGCAGTTCCACACACTAAGTTACGGAGTGTCCCATTCTCAAGAAGGTGAAGTAGAGGGGCTCACCCGGTGTCTCCCATTACACATCCAGACCATGTGTCCTCACATTTACACTCACCTAAGGGAAAACAAACACACATCTGGTTATACATGAAATGCAGCTGCAGTGAGGTAGCTTTTATTGTCTCTTAACTCTGTGTTCACAAATGGTTTTTAAAGGCTGCTTCCCAGTTCTACTCACACTAAAAGCTTTGACTGCAATGTATGAGAAACAAAATGCACGTGATCCTACAGGGGTCATATATATCGCCCCAATACCTCACAGATGGTTGTGTTTTGATTCCCTCACTTCAGATAGCTACATGACAGATGACCAGATACCAACGCACTGGCGAAAACGTAATGGCACCTCACTAGGCACCCCAGCTTCACCAGCTTTGAGGGAGATACTACAGGGTCTTCCCACTCCTAAACTCCTTGATGCTGAGGGCTCTGGGAGGAGGCAGGAGAGGATTCGGATTAACCAGAAAGTCCCCAGAATCAAAGGCTGTCTCGTTTGAAAAGCCTAATCTGTCACTTAACACATGTTTAATTCTGAAAACAATATTGTTTTATGATCTAGCCACTGCTAGATGAGACTTGGCATCCTGCAGGATCATCCTGAGACTCAGGTGAGTGGGTGGATACATGGAATTCGGCATTCTATCATCCAGGAAATAGCTCTCCAAACACGGTATTCTTATTACAAGCATCAATACTTGCAATATTTGTTGCCAAAATAATTATGATGAGTACAGTCATGATGAAATTCTTACCTCAAATACACACTATGAGACCATTCACAGAGAAGCAGTGTTACCTACTCTGGACATTTTTTTCATGCATGTTAAGGCCAGCATACATTAGTTGACCTACACTTTCCTCGGCCCTTCATCTGGTCTGCTCTCAACAAGGAAGCCTGTGTCTCGGACCATATGCAGAGATGTCTTAAGGAAACCATAATACAACATGCTCTGGGCCCCAAACAACCTAGAATTCTCCACGAGCAAATTTCAAATTTCCAAAATGAGGTACCTTTGTCCCTTCTTGAGTTACATCTAGCTTTGACTTTATCGTCACAAGCTTTCACTGTTCATTATACAAGGGGAAATTTTCACCTATGATGTAAATATTCCCTTTATTACTTTTGAAAGCAACATTTTCCTGCCAGTTTGCATATCTTGCTCTGCTTCCCACAATCCTGATCAAGCAACTGAATTAAAAATAATCTCACTCTACAAAATAATTGACAAGGTGTCTGTCTTAATAAATACAGCTAAGACCAAAACTTACCACTTGCTAATTTTCTCTTGTCTGAGATGATACCAATATTGTGTGCTAACGACTGAGCGAGTGTGACCGCCATCAAGTCAGTTTTTCCAAACTGAAAACAAAACCAAAAGAAATGTAAATGAACACTGCTTTCCATTTAAGATAGGTTAGAGATTATGGTAGGTAACAATTGAAAACAAGTTATTTCTAAGCATTTTCTGTCCTTTTTCGATGTGATGTTTTTGAGACAGGGCCTCTCTACGTTGCCTAGGCCAGCCTCTAACCATGGTGATCCACCTGCCTCGGTCTCCTTGTCGCTGTCACTATAGGCATGCACTACGATGCTCTGAACATTTTCTTTAATCTAATCTAAGCATTCTGTAGTTCATATTGAACACGCATTTGGGATGAAGTAATAGGAAACAAATTCTTATGTGATTAAGTCTTACAAGAAATACTACCAGCCGGAGCGGCATTCATTTTTTTAGTTTGGAAACTTAAATATAATTCTGACTCCAAGTTTCACCAGATAACATTCCTAAAAAACTTAATAACTGTATATTACTAAGCCAGTCTCTTGATAATACATTATAAAGCTAAGTGTCAAATTATCTGGACCCAGTTTTCTTCCCGAGTGGAACTGCGAGAAGCTGCAGCAAACACAGAGAGAGTCAGAAGTAAGGATGGTCTGCGGTCAACGGAATCTTGAAGTTTTCAATACGTGGCCTTCCAAAGATTAAAGCATTTCCTTTACATTGTGTCCATTTACGTTTAGGGTGTTGGGAGTGAGCCCTTCTCCAGGAACCCCTTCTCTGTTATTCTCCCCAAGTTTATTAAATACTGAGCAAAGGAGAAAAACAGCCAACAGATTTGTTAGGGGGGAAGCCAGTGCTTCCGGGATTACTCGAATCTGGACGAATCCTCATTCAACGGTGTAAACGCTTGGGTTTTATTCTTATTTTCATTGACAGTTCATGTACAGATTCTCTCTATATGAACTGCACAGTCTGGAAATTCTTCTATGCAGAACACGAGCGCAATCATCAGGTATTATATTTTATTCTTTCCTATCCTGCACTGGGCACACACAGGAACTGTAGTGACGATTAATGCAGCAGGCTAGCAGCTGGAAAGCGTGGACCACTGAGACCTTACTTGTGAAGTATTAGGAAACCGTTCTCCGCCACCATCCCACTTTGCATTGCACAGATGTTCCCACCTACAGCCATCATACCACTTTCTGGTGCACAGATGTTCACACCTACTTCATTCACGCCTCCTCCTCTCAGCAGCGAGCAAATCCCACCAATATAAGCTGCACCGCTCCGGCTACTCTCAAATTGACTTCCCCTTTTAGAAAAGGAAATGAAAAACGCTTACGGATCACAGTTCGCACAGCCAAGCCCCTCTCATAGTTAATTTACCACATTTATTCTCTCAGCACATACAATACGTTCCCAAAGTGAAGCAGGAATGTGAAAATCATTTATGCACATGATCAAAGAAAAAGGTTTCTGAGGGCTGCTTCCCCACATGATTAATACATATCTTATATGGAAATACATCTATGAGAAATCAATTGCACATATAATATTCTGAGAATACAAAAAGTCACCTTTTTTATTTAGCCCAAATAAATGACTTAAATATAATACCAGACATCCCTGCAACGAAGAGCCACCAAGAAGACAATCAGTCGATAGTCTTCAAAACTAGCAAGTTCAACATGGGCAAAAGCTGAGAAAATGTTTCAGCGTAAAGGAGACTAAAGAGATGAAAATGAATCACATTGTGCAGCGCTGAGCTGGATGCTGAAAGAAGGAACTGGCTACACAAGGGCATTGAGACAGCTGATGGGAGTCTGAACACAGACCGACGACGAACTATGTAAGAATGTCGCACGGTGTTACATATTCTGCTGTTAATGACTTACTGTGGTATTTGAAAGAATGTCTTTACTTTTAAGGAACTACATTGAATGACTAAGTACTTAGTAGTAAATGCAAACTTGCTGTCTCTAATTCATCCTTGAACAGGATATGAGAAAAAATGCAAGTCTTGAGTTTGGGTAAAAGCATACAGGCAATTTCCTTACGGCATTCTGGCATCTTTCCTCTAAATTTGGAATTAGATAAAAATTAAAAATAACACCTAAAACACATCTTTCGCAACTGTCCTCAATAGCTCTGATTTTAGAGGAGGCCTTGAAATTCTACAGAATATACTTTGCTGTTATATCAAATATGTGCGTTATAAAAGGAAAGAGCACAAGAGCTGGAGAAGAGTTGACAGTAAGTTCCAGAAACTTACTCGGCTCTCACCTCAAAACTTAAGTCCCTTAAACCCCATGAACATTACAAACAATCTGTATTTCAAAACTCCTTCCAAATGCCCAGCCACATCCCATAGTAACCGCATTCTCGCAGAAGGATACATGTCAGCCAGAAGAAAGAGAGCATTCGCCGTAGAACCAGGAGAAATGGGAGAATGTAACTGTTACATACGAGAAAAGATGAACTGCGTCGCTCTTCTCTTTGATAAAATCCCTCCTGTACTTCATAAACTCGCGCAGGGTGACCAGCGGGTTCTCAGATATGGCAAACTTGTTGTCGGCAGCCCAGGTTTCCATGGCAACCAATACTATCCGAGTCTTAAGTTGGTCTTTATAGATCTAGGGTGGCAACAAAATGAACACATGGGCTACACACGTGGCAAAGTCAGTGTATGAAGCACTACATAGTTCCTTCCGGGACATGCCTTTGTTTAATTAAAGAAACAACTGTGTCTAAAGGAGACCGTTGCTTTCCCAATTTGAATGCACTTTCCTTAAAGAACAGAGAATCAAACTACTTACCAAGGAAAACCCACTGAACAAAGAAAATCTTAGACATAAACAGGGTTTTCTTTTGATAAATACTTATGCTGAATGCAAGGCTTTCCCTAAGTCCGCTTTTGGCATCTTATATAAATAATTTATGAAATTTTGAGTTTCTCCAACAAGAAAGCAGGACAAAGGATCTCTAAGGAAACGACCGCCGCACAGCCTGTGTGGTGTTGAGCAACATTAGAATTATGTGAGGGCAGCCCCAATACTGTGCTGGGCGTTTCTGAAGAGGCTCAGCTCCCGCACCGTCTCTGCGCTGATGTCCCCATGTAGACTGTGAGTTTTTTTGCTAAAGTCTATGGGTCAAGCTCTGTCTTTTCCGGTAAGAAACACACAAGAAAAAAAGCAACCATATCTTTGGTCAGCCCGCCTTCCCAGACAGACTAGTCAGTGGAGTCCCTGACAAGATCGCCAGGGACTCCGAGGTCATCCTGGCTAAAGTGTAACTTGGAGGAATGTGACTATAGGCACCTTGTTACCCACCGGCTGCCGAAAGGAGCAACGCCGGACGGGGCGGTACTCACCATATCCGCCATGTTCACCACAGACTTGGCGTAGGTATTTGTGTGTACAACAGAAAGCCGATGCTTTTTGAACTGAAAGCAATAGACAAAAGGGAAGGGTGTTCACCAGGGAATAATCATCTTGAGACAGAAAACAAAATATCAGAAAATTCCCTAAGGCTTTCCGTCAAAAGAACACAAAACACAAAACCCCGCAGGGGAGAACCTGTTTCTTTATCTACCCTGAAGCCTGAAAGCTGGGGACTGAAGGAAAAGATGACTTTATCACAACTGTGAGGAAAAAGTTCAATTCAGCTGCATATGAAGTGGCCAGAATACAGCATATAATATATAAGCTTGGTGCACACGAGGTTCGGGGTTCACCCCTACCACACTCACTCCATTTGCTTTACGGTTTATTTGGGGGGCTGTTCACTGGAAAGCTGTCATGAGCTGAAAGACACGCAAGTGAGAGATGATCAATGCAGATGTGTCTACATGTGTATCACTAGTTCTACACGGTTCTAGAACAAGAAGAAACCCTAAGGTACTATCACGAGGAGATGGCTCGGAGTAAATGTGAGTCACATGCTGGGTTTACGTGGCCTCAGTGGTGTTCTAAAAGGCTTCATCACATACAACCCAATTTCAATCTTTTTCAAGTAGCGCCCTCACATGGCAACATTGAGGAGAACCTGCAGATAAGGAGTCTGCATTCCGGGAAACCAAATCTCATCCATGCTCCTGGGAATACCCCTAGTAAAATACATTGGGCCAAAAAACAAACCCACAAAAATAGTAGAAATGGGCTAGACAAGAAAAGAAGGGGGTAGCAGGACTAAGAGAAGGATAACAGGGAAGAGAACAGAAGATAATGGGGTGGTGAGGAGGTACACATGGTCAAAATACGCTACACACAATGAAAATATCATAACAAGCTCGTTATTATGTATATGTAACATATAAAAATACCTTTAAGAGAAGTATTTTTGAACCCTCATAAACAATTCCTAGTCACTTCTACCTAAGCATGTTTTCCATTTATAAGTTGTTCCTGGTCAATAACACTCTTGGCTGGGCTACCCTGTCTTCTCTAAAGCTCCTGTCCAAACTGTGTGACTGTTTCCTGCATGTGGTAGACCTCTGTATAGGTCGCGTGTGATAAACCCCTATAGAGGCTGTGTGTTCTAGACCTCTATATAGGCTGTGTGTTCTAGACCTCTACATAGGCTGTGTGTTCTAGACCTCTACATAGGCTGTG